CAATGTACAAATTTTAGATATAAATAATTATCTAAGTGAGGCTTTCCTAAACTAACAGAAGATCAGAAACAAGAAATTAATGGTTTAATTACCAATGAGGAAATTGTGACAGTTATTAAGCAATTAAAATTAGGTAAAGCGCCGGGTACGGATGGTTTGACATCCATTTATTATAAAACCTTAGTAGAAGAGATGATTCAACCTTTATGTGAGCTTTTTAATAATATATTACAGGGCTCAGAGATTCCTCCGTCATGGCGCAGTGCTTTTATATCCTTGATTCCAAAAGAGGATCAAGATCTTACTTTACAAAAGAATTATAGGCCTATATCTCTCTTAAATGTAGATTATAAGATTTTTGCAAAAATTTTAGCTAATAGGCTTATGAGGGTTTTGCATCAGCTTATACATAAGGATCAATCGGGTTTTATAACCGGTAGGTATATGAAAAATAATGCTAGACAAATTATCAATTTATTAGAATATTTAGATAAAAATAACCAAATCTCTGCAGGGCTGATATTTTTAGATGCTGAAAAAGCTTTTTACTACAACTGATTTACCAATATGGACGGGTTTCGGGTTTTAAAATTAATAATAATAAGACTAAAATATTATCTAAAAACATGACTAATCGGGACAAGCAAATTTTGGTTAATTTGACTGATTTTGAAGTTGTTGATAAGATAAAATATTTGGGGGTTACTTTATCTGTTTCTAATGTAAAATTGTATAAGAATAATTATGAAAGGCTGTGGGTCAGGGTACAGAAAGACTTGAAGAATTGGGAGAAGTTACAGTTATCTCTTATGGGAAGAATTGCAGTGATTAAAATGAATGTCCTACCAAAATTTCTCTTTTTGTTTCAAATGCTACCTATTTTAAAGAATGAGGTTAATTTAAATGAATGGCAGAAAGGCATTAATAAATTTATTTGGGCAGGGAAAAAACCAAGAGTAAAGCTTAAAATTATGCAAGACTTCCGTGAGAGAGGTGGACTCAAGGTACCGAATTTGAAATTATATTATGATGCTGTGGTTTTAACATTAATTAGTGATTGGGTAAATTTAACAAATGTAGAAATACTCCATCTGGAGGGTTGGGATTTACTTTTTGGATGGCATGCCTATTTAATTTTTAATAAAAAAGTGGATCAGGTTTTTAAATCTCATATTATAAGGATTTCTCTACTTCGGGTTTGGAGGAAATATTATAAAAGTGATTTTAAAATACCATTATGGGCTATACCACAGTCGGCAACCTGCGGCTCCGGAGCCGCATGCGGCTCTTTGAGCCTTCCCCTGTGGCTCCCAGCCTCCTCTGCCTTTGCAGAGAGAGACAGAGACAGAGAGAGGCAATTGCACTTCCCTGCTTCTCTCTCTCTCTCTCTCTCTCTCTCTCTCTGTGTGTGTAAAAGAGAGTGCACTCACAGTGTTCTCCGAGGAGCTGAAAAGCTTTCTGGGCGGAGCTCCTCCCTTTGCTGCGTCTCTAAAGGAAGCAGGAAGGGCAGGAGAGAGCTAGCTAGCCCAGCTAGGCTGACTCAGGAATTCTGGGAGTTGAAGTCCATGAGTCATAAAAGAGACGAGGTTGCTTGTTGGACAACAGCTTGAAGCTTGCCAGGTGAGCAGCAGATAGGAGGGGGGGAGAAAGAGAGAGGGGGGGGGAGGGGGAGAGAGAGAGGAAAGAGAGAGAAAGAAAGAGAGTGGGGGAAGAGGAGTGGCAGACCAAGGGCGGAGAGGGAGGGAGGGAGAGAGACAGAGAGAGAGACCCTTTTGACATCTAAAATGAAGATAACACTGCATATATCCTTTTTTTTACCTGTGTGTGTATGTAATTTTATTCTCTTAAAGCATTCTCTTGGTGATCATTGTTTTAATAGTATGGATATTCCCAAGAGTCATATTTTTACTTTTATTTTTAATGTGTGTGTGTGTGTGTGTGTGTGTGTGTGTGTATATATATATATACACACACATACACACACACACACACACACACACACACACACACACACATCTATAATAAAGGTAAAAAAGGATATATGCAGTGTTATCTTCATTTTAGATATCAAAAGGGTTTTGCGGCTCCCAGAGTTTTGTTTTTGGTGGGAAACGGGTCCAAGTGGCTCTTTTGAGTGTTTTGGGTTGCCTATCCCTGGGCTATACCTTGGCATGCGATAGAGGGGATAAGGAGAGGACTTAAAATGGATAGGGTCTCTTATACACAACTACTTAGATGGGATGGCCAAAATTGGCAGTTAAAATCTTTGGAAGATTTAGTACATGAAAATATTACCTATTCATGGTTTCAATATAGACAAATAGTGGATAGATGGAAGATGGATCGTAATATGGGCTTGCTTAGAGAAGATGAAAATCTTTTTAAACAAGTAAATGATCAAAGACGAACTCACATTAAGAGAATTTACGGGGTTCTAGTGGAACTGGATTCAGAATCAGAACTAATCAAAGATTGTATGATTAAATGGGCACAAAATTTTGGTGAACCAGTTCTACTGGATACCTGGGAAACTATCTGGGTGAGGAATGTCAAATTTACACAAGCCCAGAACTTAAGGGAGAATTTTTATAAAATGTTTTATAGATGGCACCTTGATCCACAAAAAATGTCTCTTATGTATCCTGACTTACAGCCTAAATGTTGGAGATGTGGTTGCCTGGATGCCACTTATTATCATATTTGGTGGTCGTGTAAAAATATAAAAGCTTTTTGGATTAAGATATGGTGGAATATTCAAAGAATTTTTAGAAAGAGGGTAAAATTTACTCCACAATTGTTTTTGTTAGGTATTGTTACTGATTGTGATGCTAAGGAGGTTATATTGATGTTGAATTTGATTACAGCCGCAAGGCTGTTAGTAGGGCAATATTGGAAGAAGGAATCTTTGCCTACCTTGCAAGAGTGGTTTTTTAAAGTTTCTTATCTGGCGGAAATGGCAAAGATTTCGGCTTTCATAAAGGAGCAATCGCAAGAGAAATTTTTTGCCATATGGGAAAAATGGATAAATTTCACACAATACAAATTTGATATAAAAAAATATCATTTAGCCTTTTTATAACTTGTATATAAACTTTGATATTTTATAGATTGTACTTTTTCTCTTTTTTCTTTTTTTAATCTCTTTTCTTCTTTCTTTTTTCTTCTTTTTAAGCACTTTTTCTTTTTAATGCTTATGTTTTTTTGTTATATATATCTTATTGTTAATTATTTTATAAGTTTAATTTTTTTTAGGATTTTTAAAATTTTAATTAAGCCTATATTCAGCTCTGGGAAGCTCGGGGGGGATGGAGGGGGTGGTTTGGGAGGGGTTGGGTGAGGGTTGTTTTGTTTTTTTTGTTGTTGTCTTTTTTGTTTTTTGTAAAAACTTTTAAAAATTTTCAATAAAAAAAAAGATACTGCTGGACTTTAGACATTCTTTTCACTGAGTAGTTCAGTTTTCAATTTGGTTCTCTTCTTGTTTGTGATATGACAGGGATCTCTGTAACTTTTCTTAGGTACAGTGAAATATTATTGAACTTGATAGGTGGGTTTCATGATCCCCATTCTTAGTGCTAATGAAATTATCGCTTAAGGAGAGCATCAATGGTTCATTTATTATTTCGAGGGGTGCAGAACTACAAAGTTTGAGAATCCCTGTATAAATTAATGCTCTTGACCAATCATAAAACATCTTCCAAGAATCAGCCCACAGATGACAATTTGGTGGCAGATCACCTGCTTTTGTGGAGAAGATCCAATCTCAATTCCTGCATTTCCCAATTTGAAGAAGCAGATGCTAAAAAAAACACTCCATCTTAGAATCTAAGGCAGCGGTTCTCAACTGACCATTTCACGGGGGTCGCCAAACAAAGCGATCCGCCATTTTTTTCTGGGGTGATGCATGGGGGCGGCGCCACGCATGCACGCTGTGCAGGGGGCGCATGGGGTGCCACTGCACATGTGTGCTGCGCAGGGGGCACCGCCGCGCATGCACACCCTGCAGAGGGCGCCGCCCGCATGCATGCCGCGCAGGGGGCGCCGCCGCACATGCGCGCCACCTGCTTAATACCGGGGTCGCCATATAAAAAGGTTGAGAACCACTGATCTAAGGAATCACCATCAGTTGCACTAAATGCACAAATGGCTTGATTAAGTAGAAGGCAATTTGCTTTACAGCCCTGAACATGTCAATCAAGTTTTATAAGTCCTTGTTTTAGATTGGCAATACAAGTGAATGTACAGGTAATCCTTGGTTTATGATTAATCATTTAATGACTATTTGAACTCATAATGGCCTCAAAAATGGGGCTTTTTGGCCTGCAATGCACTTTCAGTCAAAAGAGGCTGCCCAGAGTTTCCTATGGTGAAATGACTTTAATAAATAAACAAACAAAGTTACTCTGTAGTCACATGACTGCATTTCAGCATGGCAACTGATTTGCATTTACAACTGGTTGCAGTACCCTGTAGTGACATGAGCATGATTGTAACTTTTTTTTTTTTGTTTTGCCAGTTTCTGGGGAAAAAACGCACCCATTTAGAGATTGGATCAGTTTAATGTGATTTGCTTAATGATCACTGTAAAAACAGTCAAAAAATTGGGGCTGGTCATATGTGTGTCTCGATTTATGACCCCAACAATTAATGCCTGAAATTGTTTTTCCAATTGTGGTTATATGTTGAGGACTGTCTTGGAAGATCAGCTGCTATCTCATTTGAGCAGTTCTTTTCATATAGATATGGATACTTAACGATTCTTCAATATACACATGTATATTCTTGATATTATTTTTTTTAAAGAAAAAGAAAGATTTAAAGGAAATCTGACCTTTTATTGAAGATTAACAGAGCTTAAGCGAACAGGACTTAGAGATTCTCATAATAAGATTGATCTCTCAGCCCAACTGAATATAATCAGGCCTCTGCCTTTTAAAATACCTTTAGGAGTATTCTGAAATTAGAACAACAGCAGCAACAAAAGCCAAAGATTATATAAATACCTGGTGTCAGCAAGATAACAGAAGTGACAATCAAGGAGCAGATAACCAGAATCACAAGTAGAGCAATTGCAATTCCTTTCCAGTTCCTCTGTGGAGGATTGCTTCCCACCAGCTCCTACAAACAGCAAGAGGAGAAGAAAGAATTAGCAACAAGGAAGTGCAACAACCTAAATCTAAGGAGCAATAACAATGTAAATTATTTTAATAGCCGTAACCAGTGGTGGAATTTAGCCGGTTCGCACCAGTTCGGCAGAACCAGTCGCTAATTATTTATTGCCCAGGCCCAGAATGGACTTCTGGAAGCAGCATCCACACAGAGAACCGGTTGTTCACATATTTGAATCCCACCATTCTGGTGATGCTGCAATGGAAGAAATGCACTATTGCAGGCTGCTGACTGCTAAGAGTTCAATTGTGATCGGCTCATGGTTAACTGAGCTTCCCATCCTTCCAAAGTCAGTAAAATGAAGGCCCAGATTGTTGGAGAGGCAAAATGCTGACTCTGTAAACTTCTTAGAGAGGGCTGTAAAACACTGTGAAGCAGAATATAAGTCTAAATACCATTGCTATTGCTATTAAATCACCTACACTTTGAAGAGATACAGCTTCCATAGGCTTCTATGCTAAGGATGTCTCTTCAGTAAGCAAGAATAGCTTTGTCTAAGTTGATTGGCTGGAGTGTACAAATAGTCCTCCAGTTATAATCATTCATTCTATTCACCATTTGAAATTACACCAGTGCTGAAAAAAGTGACATGAACATGTTTCACTTATGACCATTGTGGCATTCCCATGGTCAGCATTTGAGTACTTGTCAACTGGCATGTATTTATGACAGTTCCCTGACCCCCGGGTCATGTGATCAGCCCTTGTAACCTTCCCAGCTGGTTTGTGACAAACAATGAAAATTGGGGAAACTGAATTTGCTTAAGGACTGTGTGATTCACTTAATGATCACAGTGATTTATGTAATGAGCACAATAAAAATGATTGTAAAATCAGGCTAGGCACATGATGACCCTCTTAATGACTATATGACTGTATGACTTAATGACTATAGCTTAACGATTAAAATTCTGGTCCCAACTGTGGTCATAAGTGAAGGTCTATTTGTAATAGAATATAGCTAGGGCAAAAGGGTAAGAAAAGAGGATGTGCACAAAAAAAGGTCCAAGGGAAGAGAAGAAAGAAAAAAAAATTCTTCCAGAAAGAAGAAATGAGAAAGGTAAATAAAAGACACCTGGATCTGTTTATCCCTCCAAGTAGCAGTCAGTTTGATTTATGATTATGTATTTGTTTATTGCAATTTATAAGCTGCTCTAAGCCTAACAGTGCACCAGGGAATGCTTCCTTTTGTAGATAACTGTTAGCTCATGTCCAGCTCCTGACAGCCTGTTTATTCCCATGCATAAACAAAGATACAGAGCAGCTATGAATAATGTCAGGGAATTGGAATAAACAGATAAGTCTGTACTTACTTATATAAGCTTAGGATCATTTGCAAAGTTCTGACTTCAATTATTATGGTGCCACCATCCTTAACAGTTATGGCTTTATAGGCAACTGTTTTGTCACCTGAATAACTATAACCATCACCAAAGACTTTAAAAGTTTATATGGATGACATGGCTCAATTATAGAAACTAAATCTATCACAAGATATGGAATACCAAAAGCTGGTGTGCATCTCCCTGTCTTTTCATTGCTGAAGAAAAAAACATAGCTTTTTGAGGTATGTCTAGGTATGATCCTATCATCAATCACCTTACTTATTCACAGTAAGAAAAAAAGAGGTGCTTTTTTTTTCCTAGTGGGAATGTGTAAAACTTCCAAATGGAGTAGATTTAAAAAAGCAAATTGAACTAATCCTATTATAACTCTTGCCTTTCATTTACAGCATTTCATAAATATATCAGGAGCTTCTGAAAATCGTATTTTAAGTTTTATGTTATTATTCAGAAAGTATGCATCATAACTTAACATTCACTGCTGATTTCAAATCTATTATAAAATATAAACCCACATTTTATACTTATCGATAAATGTCTCTTCTGCTCAGAATGATAAATTGTACAAGCAGAGTGAGGGAATATCAAGGATGTGCTCAGAGAAACAGGCATAACATTTTAAAGCAAATAAAAAACATAAATAAATGTATCTTTTCCCTTCTCTCACAGATTATGTAAAAGAGTAATTTTTTCAGGATGTATTGATATACTTGCTGTTTCTGAACATGTAGTCCTCAAGGATCCAAAATCTATCACAATGACAGTCAAATTATGGATAGTCACTACTGAAGTTTGGACTACAACAATATTTCTCAAACTCATCTGCTTCAAGATATGTGGATATCAACTCCCAGAATTTCCCTAACCATCCATGTAATAGTTCTTGTTATTTTCTTCTTCTTCTCCTTCTCCTTCTTCTTCTTCTAATGTTGTCTCATCAGAGGTGCTTTCTCTGGCACTATTGGCTTGTGATTAACAGGGAATATGTTTAATCAGCCATGATTTAGCAATAGCAATAGCACCTAGACTTATATACTGCTCTGTAGTGCTTTACAACATTCTCTGAGCTGTTTACTAATGTCAGCATATTGCCCCTAACAATCTGGGTTCTCATTTTTTTGAGCTGATGGAAGGCTGAGTCAGCCTTGAGTTGGTCAGAATCGAACTCCTGGTTGTGGGCACCACTGTGTCACAACAGCTCGGTGATCTAATTTTTATAGCCGCCTACAAATGAGAAGGAGTGACTTTCAAAACAAATTCAAGAAAGATAGGTGATCAAAGTCAATTCTGGACAATTTTAGTTCTTTAGTAGCTAGAGTGCAACAAGCCAGCATGGCTGCTGCGAATTCTGGGAATCCACAAGTCCTAAAGTTGCCAAATTTGGACAACCCTACTCTAGGTCATTCTCTCTATTCCCTACAAGAAGCTACTTCCACCAGGATAGCAGGCAAGGAAAATCAGCTTGAACATGATTTATAGATGGGGCGTTGACTTACCTGAACGCCTTTTCTCAGCACGGAGATGGATAATCCACGCAGTGGGTTGAGACTGTATTCCTGGCCAATCAGATCTGTCAGCCAAAGTTGCCACGCCCCGTCTTGGACCATGATCCTTTAGTCTTGACTCGAGTGCAGCCATTGACTGACAGTAAGACGTTTTGGCTCCACTAAATATACCCTATTATTCTAGTCTATAAGGGCGGGTGTGGATTATCCATCTCCGTGCTGAGAAAAGGCGTTCAGGTAAGTCAACGCCCCTTCTCCAGCACTGGAGATGGATAATCCACGCAGTGGGACATACCAAAGCCTATTGTCCCTTGGGTTGGGGAATAGACTGGTCCCGTGTGCAACTTTGGTCTAGCACCTACTGGAGAACCCTCCTACCGAAGGAGGCCTCTGCAGAGGAGTACCTGTCGATTTTGTAATGACGAATGAATGGAGAGGGCGAGGCCCAAGTGGCTGCCCTGCATACCTCTTCAATAGAAGCCTGCATGGCCCATGCTGCTGAGGTGGCAGCACTCCTTGTGGAATGGGCTGTGATATGCTTGGGGACTTGCAAGGACTCCGCCTGGTATGCCCCCGTGATGCATGCCCTAATCCACCTACCGATGGTAGAGGACGAGACCTTCCGGCCCCTAGTAGCAGGGTGGAAGGATATGAAAAGCGCTTCCGAGCGTCGGAATTCCGCTGTGCGTGAAATGTAATGTCTTAGTGCCCTGCGTACGTCCAAGGTGTGCCATTGTTGTTCCAGGGGATGAGCTGGGTTTGGACAGAAGTCTGGTAGGACTATTTCCTGTGATCTGTGAAAAAGGGAGTTGACCTTTGGAATGAATGAAGGGTCTATTCTTAGGACTACCTTGTCCCTGTGAAAATGGCACAGGTCCTTCCTCATTGAGAGAGAAGCTAACTCGGATATCCGCCGAGCTGACGTGATGGCTACCAAGAATGCTACCTTATGGGTCAGATAGCGAATGTCACATGTTTTGAGTGGTTCGAAGGGCGCTCTGGTAAGAGCTTGTAGTACTCGTGGTAGTTCCCACGATGGATACCTGTGCACGGTTGGCGGTCTGATGTTTGCAGCCCCCTTGAGGAAGGATCGTATTAAGGGATGCTTGCCCAAGGATTCACCGGGGCTGGCAGAAAGTATAGTTGAGAGGGCGGCGATTTGCCTGCGCAGTGTGTTTGGCGAGAGGTCCCTCTCTAGGCCATCTAGTAAAAATTCTAGGATCTTGGGAATTGTGATCCCTTCGAGTAACACTTCCTGTTTAGAGCACCATGATTGGAAGCTTCTCCACGTGGCCTCGTAGATACGGTTCGTGGAGGGGCGCCTTGATGCCTGTATGACCCTAATTACACCCTGTGAGCAAGCCCCCTTGGCTAAAATTGACCGTTCAAGAGCCAGACGGCTAGTTGTAGCCATTGTGGCTCTGGGTGGGAGATCTCCCCCTGCTTGAGGGAGATCCTCTCCGGAGGAATCCGCCATGGATTCGTGCGGGAGAGACTCCTCAAGTCTGCGAACCAAGGTCTCCTTGGCCAATAAGGGGCCACAAGGATTACCTCGGCCCTTTCCCGCAGAATCTTGCGTACTACCGCCGGAAGGAGAGGTAAGGGTGGAAACGCGTACAGGAGCCCCCTTGGCCATGGGCTCCGTAACGCGTCCGTCTGCTCTGCTCCCTTGGATGGGAATCGGGAGAAGAAGCGAGTTAGGTGGGCATTGGAAGGAGAGGCAAAAAGGTCCACCTGGGGAAGCCCGAAGCGGTGACAGACCTCCCTGAAGATCCTCGGGTGTAGTTGCCACTCCGAGTGATCTATTGTTGATCTGCTCAACAGATCTGCTTGGATGTTTGCCTCCCCCGATATGTGGTCGGCCTTTATGGAGGCCAGATTTTGTTCCGCCCAGGCCCCCAGTAGGAGGGCCTCGGCCGAGAGCGAGCGAGAGTGTGTGCCCCCCTGACGGTTTATGTGGGCCTTGGCTGTCACGTTGTCCGTCAGGACCAGTACGTGCCTGCCTTTTATGCTGCTGTGAAAATGCCTTAACGCTAGGTGAATAGCCCGCAGCTCGAGCCAGTTTATGTTGTGTCGGAGATCCACCGCTGACCAGCGGCCCT